TTTTGTAAATAAATTCATTAATTAATTTAGTTGTTTAATTAGGTTAATTGTAATCTTTTTCATATTAAATAAAATCAAATCTAGAATTAGGTTCTTCCTTTGACACTTTTAATTTCTTTTTTTATTTTATTTCATTAAAAAAAAATAAAAAGACATAAAATACTATTTCTTGTAATTAATTAATTAATTAGTAAATTAGATTTAACATTTAATTAAATTGCAAAAAAGGGACAAATTCAATTCTTTTCTCAAAAAAGGGTCAAAACCCTAAGACGTTCCTGATTCAATATTTCGCGCGCATGTTTATTTTAATTCATTATATTTATGTATCTGCTCCGGAAATGTAATAATTAATTAGGTCTTTTACCGCTTTTTTTTTACTTTCTGCATTTATTTTCCAAACGGGTTTTGTTTTTGGCGATGTATAGACCCGCGCCTTGTAATAGCGTAGATTTACCTTTCCGCAATTTATTTTCCGCACTCTTAACTGTTAACAATGCATGAAAGACTTGTATGACAAATAAAATCAATCTGTAGCTCACAAATACATGTGCAAAGATAATATGAACTGAACTCAACACACATGCACATGCCACTCCTAGGGTATGCCTCACTTGGTTGCCTCGACGTGGTCGTCAAGTATAGGGTGTTTTAGAGGTCGCCCTCCTGTCTAAAGATCCAGTTGCCTCGAAACGGTTGCCTCGGATAAAAAAAGGATCTAAGACATTAGGGTTACCGCTAAGGCGTCCTACTATTGCTTCGGTGACCACACATGTCCCTAATAATTGAATTGACCCGAACAACTCCAACGATGGTGCTACCTACCTCTAAATGGTGGGATAACACTATCTAAAGGACTCTTACACAGCCTAATTCCTTAGAGTAGGTAGATTTCTCTCGGGTACTTGCTCTTTCAAAAACAAAAAATAACTCTTCGCACCTACACTTTCAAAAGGTTTTCAAACAAATATTTCATACACTCTTGAGGACAGATACAAGAGTTACTTAGAAATTTTTCAAACGAAACTTTTTCAAAACCCACATACACTTGAAAAGCAAACAATTTTTGAAAACATAGAGCAAGTACCTAAGAGCCCGTGGATAACCACGGATAGAAAGGGTGCTAACACCTTCCCTTTCTATAAATCTACCTCCTGAACCAAGAAAACATTCTCGAAAAAGGAATTTTGCTGTGCTTTTTTCCTTTCCATGTTGGAGAACATAAAAGACGGTGGCGACTCTTGCTTACCGCGACATTTCGCGAACTAGCTTAAAAACAGTCAGTTCTATTTCCATCGATCACAGAACTGGCGACTCTGCTGGGGACCTTAATAAGTGAGGTGTACCTTAGGATTAGACCACTCTTATGTTTTCAATTGCTTGCTTTGTTTGAGTTAATATTGTGGGCCTATCTTGGAGTTTCATAGATCCTAACCCGGATCTGGGGGATACCTTTTAGAAGTAGCAACAAACTGTGAGGGAACTGTGCGGGGTATACCGACACGGTTGAAGCAGTTTGCTACGTTGATGTGGAACTTTGGTGAGTACCGGTAACCCTTGAGTCAAGTCAAGGAGAGTACGGGGCCGCCGCGTGGTGTCGTGAAGCATCAAATGACCTAGGAACCTTACTTGACCATCCTGGCCTCTTTAGGGGTAGTGAGATGACCGACTTTGGTGCAGTCCGAAGTTGGTAGATACTCGATACTACACTCATTGAGGGTTGTTTTCTTGGAATATTTTGATCGCCAGTTCAGTGGCTAAATCAAAACAATGAACATAGAAAACAACCTAATGATATTGAGCTCCTTAGAACCTGGTTACTTTTGATAGGACAGGTTTTGAGCCCACCAACTTCAAGAGGGTAGTACCTAGACCTCATGCTGGCCTAAACTCTAAGGGTTGTCTGGTATGACTTGTGTGCCTTATCATGTTTGCCTTTTGTGAATACTTGTGGTGTGCTTTTATCATAACATCATAAAGCATCATATGCATTTACTAACCACTTCAAAGGTTCGAATCTTCATCTTTGTTCTTGTTTTGTAGGACATGGAAACTATCCGTAGAAAGACAATTTAGGTCAACCTTGTAAGGATCCCTCCTCAGCTTAAGGAGCTTGCATCCAGGATTCCCGAGAACTCTTCCTTCAGTGAAAAGCATGGTAGACTCATCAGCTTGGTCAACACCAACATTGAAGAAGATATGATAAAAGTTCTTTTCCAGTTCTTTGACCCTTTGCACCACTGTTTTACTTTCCCGGATTATCAATAAGTACCTACTTTGGAAGAGTTTTCTCAGCTTCTGAGGGTTCCCATTCTCAGTCAACTACCCTACAACGGTACGGAAAGAGAACCAAAACTTGAAGAGGTTGCTAAAGCATTACGCCTACAACCATCTGACATCAAGGGGCATTGGGAAATCAGAAGTGGTATCAAAGGATTCTTGGCAAAGTTCCTGTTTGAGAAGGCCCAAGAATGTTGGAATTCCCTTGACTTACAAGTCTTTGAAGAAGTTGTGGCACTCCTTGTCGATGGGTTGGTGTTGTTCCCGAATCTGGATCAGCTTATAGATATCAATGCTGTCAAGATTTTCATGTCCAGGAATCCTATACCTACGCTGCTTAGGGACATCCTCCACTCATGTTACACTCGAACCATGAGAAAAAGAGGTGTTCTTATGTGCTGCACTCCTCTCCTGGCAAGGTGGTTTATTTCGCACCTTCCACAACCAGTTTTAAAGAACGAGCGGGGTTTGAGATGGTCACAACGATTAATGACTCTTGGAATTAGAGGGGGCATTACTTACAACCCATGTCTGGCTTTGAGACAGTTTGGATATGCTCGGAGGGATGGCCCTCATGACATGTTGATTCCTGACATAGTTTTTGACTTCGACAATGATACGCAAGGACTTCGGCAGAGATTTATCAGAGCTTGGAGGATGCCTAACATGGTGGATAGCAAGACACTGGGGCACAAGAACTCCATCCCCCTGGTGCCTTATCTCAAGTGGGTACGAGCCCGCTCCCAGAAGCTGGTGATGCCATATCCTCATGTTCTCCCCGTGATCAAAGAGCCAGTTTTTGAAGGAGAGGTTCCCTACACCATTCAACATCCTAACATGCCAACGTCTTGGGAAGAAATGCAAAAAAGATGGATCCAACTCAAGGAAGAACTGAATTCTCTTGAAACCAGTCTACATGCTAGTGAGAAGAAGGTCTTGGAGCTTACCCGCCTACTTCACGAGGAAAAAACCCTCAATACCTACATCGCTCCAAAGAGGATGCGCAGTGTCTTTTGGGATTAAGTATTTTGTAATATTTCGCCCATGAGGCATTGATGTACTAAACAGATTATTTCTTAATATAACGTGTGTTCCTTTTTGTCTACAACGAATTTGAACTTCCGAACCCTTGAATGCATTGCATAAATAGCATATTGTTGTACCCCAAAATTTGCCCTCCCATATTCTTCAAAGTTTGTCAAGAATCATCTTCAATTGGTTCAAGACTTCTCAAGTATTGCACAATCAAACATCCTCCTAAGCCAGTCAAAATTAGGGTTTTGTTTCTTCCAAGGAATTTGAGGTTTTCAATGGCTCAATCAAGTCCCATATTCCTATATACATTTTTAAGCATCTACATGTCAAGTTTCAAGACTCACAGCATCAAGTTGCACAGTCAAAAGCCCTAATTGCTTCACAACCAACTGCATGGGTAAAATGGTCATTTGGCAGTCAAAAGTCAAAAATTTTGGTCAACATCTTATTTTGAGCACACAATCATCATTTGATCAAGTCTTGATCATGATTCCTCAAGAATGGCTCAAAAAATCATCAAGATGCAAAAGTTTCACTTTTTGGACAGTTGAAAAGTCAACTGTAACTTGACCAAGGCATAACGTTTTCATGGTTCATCAGAAAAATCCCATCCAATGCTCATTTTGAAGGGAAGGACATTTCCTACAACTCATCTTCACATTCCAAGTCCAATAAATGCTCTCACAAAAAGTTATCAATTTCTACATTATAGGTCATTATCAAAAGTCAACAAAAAGGCATTTTAAGTCAAAGACCATAACTTGAGATTGGTAAATCCAAATGACATGGGACCAAAGTCATTGGTTAGAGGACTTCAAGACCTTTCCAAAATGTCCAAGAACATGTCCATATGATCAGAATTGAGCAAGATATGCATTGGAGAAGTTGGGAAGTTTTTGTGAAATGGCAAAAGTCAACTATCCTTAAAATTTCAATTTTTGACAAAAGGGCCCACTTTCTTCCACTTGTTTCAGCCTTGTCATTCCATACACGTGTCCCATTATTAATTTCAAGATCAAACATTTATTTTTCCATTTTATTTAATTTTTATTGATTTAATTCTTTCTTCCAATGTATTCCTTCATCAACCTTGGTCTGAGGAACTAGGGTTTGTGATGGTGACCATTGAACACTTATTTCTTTCTCACCAATGATTCTGACTGAGAAGACTGTGAACTATGACTTTGATGATAAGTTGTGTCTTCATTAACCATATACCTCAGGAAGATTAGGGTTTATATCATATCATAATTGGGTTTGTCCACATGGTCATTGGGTGTTTATTGGATCGAAAGGCATGATATAAGGATAGAGTTGTGAATTCATTAATATCAAGTCATGTTGATTCTCTTATTGTTTGTTATATAAGATTGATGGGGATTAAAGAATTAAATTGGTATGGATTCAAGTCGATTCATTCAATGGATTTAAAATTGGCTAAAGCACGCAAGTTTGGAGGTTTAGTACACCTGAAACAAGTAGTAAGGTTTGTTCAAGTCTTAATTCAAGTATCATCCAAGCATTTATTCAAACTCCATTCAAATTTGTTATCATCATCATGATTCAAATCACCATTTTCAAGTTCAAATAAAAGAACAGGAAAAGACTTCATTTGTAATTCAAGTTGCTTGCGTTATAAGTGATATTCAAGTATTGGGTTCAAAGAAAAAAGCCCATTCAAGGCCTACTTCAAGTACAAACCGAGGGAAAGAGAAAAAGGAAAATGCAAGTTAGAGAGGTATTTTGAAGAAATTAGCATGAGATAGAAAGGATATATTACCAAGTCTTTTAGTGACTTACAAAGAAACAAGTCACAAGAGGAAATCATAGGAAATTTTAAATACAGTATATCATTCATACAAGGGTTCACATGTTATTATTACTATACTAAAACCTATTATTCCCACTATGACTTCATCAATATCTCTCCACTTATGCCTTCATATTATATTGTTAATGACTTCAATTCTTGCTTTAGTTACATAAAACCAAAAGCTTGCCATTGTATTTTCTTCAAACGACATGTTGTCCAAAACTATATCAGGATTGTATCACCAACTGCAGCCCTGCATCAAAACACCATCATCATGTCCATAATAAATCAGTTCATACCAAACCAGTTCATACCAAAATAGATCACCAAATAAACTTGATGCCCTATTCAATTTAATGTATAACCGCAGCCTTGCATCAGTAAAATCAGAAAAATGCTTTCAAACCAAAACAAAAAGTGCAGAGAAAATTTTCGAAACAATTCAAATAAAAAACTGAACTCCACTTTCTAACAGAAAAATAACAGATGACGGTCTCTAACTATATCCTAACCGCTTTAGCATCTAACCAACTGTTTCTAAAACAGAATCACAACAAACTGTAACTAACAGCCCCTAACTGCTCTATCTTCACAAACTTCCATAATTCCAAAAAGCTGTCCTAACTGAATTCTAGATGAACCCTAACCAGTTGTACAAGAAAGATCCTCTAACAGCTCTCTAACAAAATTCCAACTAAATTCCCTAACAGAATCACAGTCTAACCGATCTAACAACTTCCTAACAACTTTCTAACAAAATGGCTAACAAAGTTTCCAAAACCATATTACAGAATCAGTTTTATTGAGAGGAGGAGAGATCTATTCATACTATCATTATTCACATTCAGGATACAAATATACAAACAAAAAAGAAAATTACAGGGGAAACTCACCAAAAAAATCTCTCTTTGAAATCTCAGAAGTTCTCTTTGAACTAGACTGTCTTCATCCACTATGTTTCAAGAACTTCATCGTCTTTACAATCTTCCCTCTTCTCTAAACGCAACAATGTCAACAATGCTGCAAAATATTCATCGCGGAAACCATAACTTCAATCTTCACTCTTCTTCATCGCCTTCTCTCCAATCATCTTCATAGCCTTCTTTTCTGCACAACAACGACAACGGTTAGTCGGGGAAACCACAAGAATAACAATAACACATACATTACAACAATACACGTGCCGAGTGAAACTGAAGAAGAAGAATCGCGAAGTAGAGGAAAGAACAAGAAAAATGGAGGAAGCTTAATATTACCTACAGCATTGAAGTTGTCAGGGGTTTCTTCTCCTCTATGAGTTATCGGCGCCTCTATCAGGTCGATAATCTCACTATCTCCTTCACGCGTTCATATATTTTTCATATCATTACCTAGCCTGTGATGTGTTAATTCATAACCCTAGGGCCTTGTTTCCAGATTCACTTCTATTATCGTTTTATTTTTCCTTGAGTTTTCTAGGTTTTATTTTCTAGATTTGTTTAGGTTTGAGGAATAGGAGAAGGAATCGGTGAAGAAGAGAATATTGAGGTATAGTTGTAGCAGAGAGTTGGTGATTGAAGCAGAGAGAGACGACTGAGAATGGAGGTGAACGGCGGACATATCGAAGGAGAATACACAGACAGGGGGAGTTTGAAGTCTTTGAAGGAACATGAAGGGTTTCAAACCATAAGTCTGTATGCGGCGTCGTTTAGAAAATTAGGTGCAATTCTCTTTGAATTTTGCTTTTTTTTAATAATCAGAAATTGAAAATAATTTGTTAAAAATTTAAGATACTGATGGATCGTTGCATGCATCGTATCTCTATCTTTTCAATTTTTATTGTAATTAGGTTTTATTTTTATCAAATATTAATAAGAAAATTTTTGAAACAAAAAAGGTTGAATGGGTGTTGGGCCATGGATGGTAAGCTTGCTATTTCTATACCTCTATACTCATCCTCACACCTCTAGGCTTAGATTTAATTTTCATCTTTGTTTTACAATTTTTGAGACATTAATTTTGATAATTCCTTTCATGATTTTCTTGCTGAAAATTTTGTGGATGCTTATATATTGATTCCTGACTTATTGATTTTTTTTCCATTATCTTAAGAATTAACATAATTAATGTTCAGTACATGATTATACTTAGGATTTTAACGCGTTCTTGTCGATTATGTATCCTTGATTCAATTCCCTTGGCATGATGAGTGGTTTAGCGGTAGGTTCTGATCCTTGAACAAGGCCTCGTTATTTTTGACGCGTTTGTTCATTGTACAAGGTACATTTTGGTGCTCTCAATCGTGTAACATAACAAGTTATTATGTGATTGAAGCTTCTGGCTTATGCTCGCTTCTGATGCAACACGCCTTAGTTCTCATCGTCTTGAGAAATTCATATCATATTATATGTTGTCCTGATACATGTGATATTTTGTGATACTTTGTGCAGGAACTTCTGATTATGCGTTGCATTCACAACACGCGTTTGCTTTATCTTAGTTGGATATTGTTTCTGACTTTATTTATTTCTTGATGAAGCATGCTCGATGCGTACTCCCTGCTTCTCTAGTGCTTTCGTCTGCTTTTGATGATTTGCTTGCTTGTGGTAGTCACCTCTACTACTTGGTTTCGCCGCACTTTATCATATTTCTTTACCGCTTTTCTAGATATCATGAGAAGTAGGGCTTTACTGCTTTATGATTCCATGAGAAGTAGGATAGATATGTATGACGGGGGTCTCCATTGTTGATCATGTCAGGAACCCCTCTGGTTTATTTAAACACCCGTTTTAGGCAATTCTGCATTGATTGCCATTGTGTGTTACCTGTGTGTGGTTTGTTTAAAACCCTACCTTTGATAGGTATTCTGCAGGTGTGTTTATGTTTTGTACCCACATTATTCCCCCATCCCTTATTGAAGTCCACAAAAGGAGCTAAGCAGGGAGGGTTAGCAATCAACCTCCGCAATTTCGTCAGTGTCATCCTTAGCTCGTGACGCACCACGAAGCTTCAGAGTTGTTCCTACTCTTGTTATTGAGTCATCAAGTGGGGAAGGGTTCCACAATCGAACCCCTCACACTTTTTCAAGAGTTCGCATTTGCCGATGCTACTACTCCTTGATCGTTCATATTGCCTTCTGTCGCTTACCTCGATCTTCTATATCTTGGTTAGGTGATCAGTCGCTTTTGACATCACCTTTTTTTTACATCTCACTCCCACTTGTTTGTATAGGGTGATACGCTCCCCTTGGATAAATAATTTATCTTCTTTTCCTTACTATTTTATGTGTGTGCTCTTTCGAGCTTGCTTGCTTTATCCCTTTACATACCATGTTCCCTTAGGATGTGCTTTCTCCGTTCGGATGCGAGTTAGACCTTAGGTTGCAAATCATGCATGCTAACATTAGGTAGGCATTCCCCGTTCATCCTTGACGTAGGGCTACCATTGTATGATAACATTAGGTTTAGAAATAGGCTAGTCTCCCTTAGACTATTTTCTTCCCCTTTTGCATATGCAATTAAAACTAAAACTTTTTCTTTAGCAAATCAAAAACATGCTAATCTCTCTTAAACCCTTTTTCAAGGTAACAAGATACAAACCAACTCAAACCCTTTTATGCATCCAAGAACCTTTTCTCAAAACCCTTTTCAGGTAAGAACATGATTAATTTACTTCTGTGCCAATGCATAAGTCTCCAAAGGTCGAGCTGCAGCAATAAGCGGAATTAACATTTTCCATAAAAAATACAAAATAAACAAAACATGTTAGCCAAACTATGGTAGCTATGATTCCTCAAAAAGGATACGTAGGCATTGGGGTAGGGCCCAAGCGAGTACAACTTTATTTTCTCTACATTCTTTTCTCATTTCTTTTGCATGCATTCTTCCTTAGTAGTAAATAGTAAGCATGGATTAAAAACACCCATAAGATAGACAACAAGAGTGGATACCGTAGAATACTACGGGCGTGTGGGGTGCTAACACCTTCCCCTCGCATAACAGACTCCCTTACCAAATCTCTTGGTCGCAAGATCGTGACTTCTCCCTTCTCAGGTTTTCTCGATGTTTACCTTTCCCTTCATGTGGGATGAAAGACGTTCGATGGAAACTTCATTGTTTAATGATTTTCAGCCGGTTATTTCAGATGTTAGGCATGTAAAATTGTTTGGTTCCTATAACTTATTTCCTAGCTTGCTTTAACTCTTTTGTTGGACTAAGGATTCCAATCCCGCCCTCCAATAGAGTTCTTTGGCTCATGTTTAGGTAAGGTTTTATGGTCTTTCTCTAGAGTACTAGAGACCAAAAATTATTTTTGCGATTGCTAATGGCGTGGGCAAACCCATATGTTCTAATGGTACTTCTACAAACCCAATAATGGATATTATGTCAGAGTGCTTGTTATGAATGTCAATACAAAGATACAAAGTCCTTGTTGAAAGACAAGATTTTATGTGTTTATGTGATATGGAGTATGAAAACCTTCCTTTTTTTCTTCACATTGTAGGAAAATAGGTCACTCATTGGATACTTGTAGGTTTGTGAAAATCTCTTTCAAGTTTGATAAACCTCATGCTAAACATGTTAAAAAAATTATATTCCCAAATAAAAATCTTTTCATATACCTGCAATTTCTAAAATTCCCTTTAAGACAATTGGGCATACTTTATCCAAAGGAATGGGTACTGATATTTCAAAACCTACTAACAACATAGACCAACTTGGTACTAGTGGTATTAGCAAGGTTTCTCTAGTTGAAAACTTAGTCCAGCCTTAACCAGATGACATACGAAACCAAAATCTATCGATACCTTGTGGTGCTTCCAAGGATGCTTTGGGTAGTCTTGAGCAACCTATTGTGGAAGTTGATGATACTTTCGATGATAACAGTTTAAATGTAGAATATGTTGGTGCAACTTGTAACACCCTGAAATTTCATTTATTTATTCTAATTAATTTTAAAATGCTTTTATTATTTTATTTTGGTGCTAGAATGATTTATGTGATTTATTGAGCATTGTGGGTATTAATTATAATTTTTATAATTGAATTATTAAAGAAAATAAGAGAAATATGAGACTTGGGAGGAAAATAGTATTCTTGTGAAATTGAGGGGATAAGGAGAGAATTAACCAAAGTTGAGGGGAGTTGTGGTGATAACTAAAATAAATAGAAATATTGTGTTTTATTTTATTTTATTTAAATATAAAAAAGAAGGGATAGAAAGGATAGTACGTGAGTGTGATCGGTGGATCTGGAACTGACTGTTTAACGCTGGTTCGCGAAATGTCGCGGAAGCAAGAGTCGCCACCGTCTTTTATTTTCTCCAATATGGAAAGGACAAAAGCACAGAAAAATTCCTTATTGAGATTAGTTCTCGGTTCGGGAGGTAGATTTATAGAAAGGGAAGGTGTTAGCACCCTTTCTATCCATGGTTATCCATGGGCTCTTAGACACTTGCTCATTTGTGTTTTCAAAATTGTTTGTTTGCTTTTCAACTGTGGGTTTAAAAAAGTTTCGTTTGAAAATTTCAGTTCGACTCTTGTATCAGTCCTCAAGAGTGTTTGAAAAGTTGCTTTCGAAAGCTTTTGAAAAGGTATCGGTGTGAAAAGAGTTTTTTATTTTGTTTTGAAATTAGAGCAAGTATCTATGAGTTCTCTACCTACCCTAAGGAATTCGTCTGTGTAAATGTCCTTAAAATAGTGCCATCCCACCATTGAGAGGTAGGTAGCACCACCGTTGGAGGTGTTCGGGTCAATTCGAGGGTTCGGGACATGGTGATCACCGGAGCAATAGGAAGACACCTTAGAAGCTACCCTCATGCCATGTTCATGGACATGAGGACTTACTAAAACATCCTCTACTCGACGACCACCTTTCGAGGGGCAAGGCAACAGTGAGACGTACCCTAGGGGTGGTGTGTGATTTGTGTGTCGTTTTCAGATATTTTGTCTTGTTCATGCATTGGTGATCTACGCGTTGTTTTTATTTTTGACATTCATTCTTTCATGCTAATTTTTAATAGTTTAAAAGATGCGGAATTTAAAAGTCCTACGCTATTACAAAGGCGCGGGTCTACATCGCCAAATTAATCCAAGACCCGATTTGAAATAAAATAAAAATGCGGAAAGATAAATATCCTAATTAATCTATTACATGGCTTTGGGATAATTACATGAAATTTATAAAAAGGAAATAAAATAAGCGCGCGAAATAGAATTATGATCGAATGCGAGGGCGTTGGACCCTTTTAAGGAAATTAAATTACAATTAATAAATTAATTAAGTTAAATGAAAAGAAAATTATTTTTGAGTTTTTTTGTATTTATGGAATTTAGTAAGAAAATTAAATGAAATTAAATCCCTAATTCTAAACTATTTTTAATTTATTAAAAAATGTTTAAATTTAACCTAGTTTTAATTAATTATTTACATGGCAAATTTATTTACAAAATAAATAATTAATTATTAAATATGGTGAAAAGAAAAGAAAAAGGATAAAAGTATTTAAAACCCTAATTCTACATTTTTTAGTTTATTAAGAAAAATATTAGAATTAAACCTAGAATTAAAAAAAAACTAAATTAATTAATAAAGTTTATTTACAAAAACATTTAAATAAAATATATTTATATTTTTTGTCTTTCTGATTTTTTTGTTATTTTTCATGTTAAA